ATACAGTACATCATGTCATTTACTGGAGCAATTGAAGAATATGGTACCTTACTCAGGGGTACAATGGCACAATCCCATCTGCGATCTGAACCCCTAACACTCCTGTCTGGAGACTGAAGCCCTAAACACAGCATGCAGCTGCCAAATTATAATACACTTACTTAACTAAAATTTCCAAATATTTACATCCACACCTAGATACTGCACTATAAACAGCTTTAGGCTCTCTCATGTGATGTAGTATTTTATGTAGACACTTTCAATGGATGTTTTGGCGCACAGAAAATACATTCTTTGATTCCTGGCACATGCATATCTTTGAGATTTCAATCAGGAGTGCTATAATCAAGATTTATAAGGCGGCTTTAAAATGTTCCTCTTAAAATATATGTTTATTCTTAAGCCTTCTTGGATGCCCATTTGCAGGAAAATTAATTATGTCTTCATTTGCTGGCTGGGACTGCAATATGGGAATTCAAGCAGAGTGGGAGGTGGAAATCAAAGCTTGGTAACCAGACATGCTGCATTGAAAATAAACCTTCACGGCTCTGCTTCTCTAATGCCTGCTACTCTTCGAGTTAAACAAGGTGTTAATGAGCAGAGCACAAGGGGCTGGTACTGTGTTCTTGGTATGAACAGGGGCAGACTCATTGCAAAAGAAATACACCTAAAATTGTGTGACTATGGAAATGTTTTTTAATTAGCAGAATTATAGTTTTCCTCCTGATTTGTGGACCCCTAATTTGAAAACAAAAACAGAGATAAATTAGGAGACTATTATGTAGACAAACATTTGGGTGAGCTCCAGGACCTTTTCTCTGAAAGTGTTAGGCTGAATGAAGTTAAATGTGGTATAGAATAAGTATGTCATGGTATATGTCAGATTTGTTTATGGCAGAGCGCTACCTGCAATGCATACAGTTTATAGCATTAGTCTCTCGATGATATGGTCTTACAGACTCATTAAATCACATACACTGATCAACAGTAAATATTTAAGTGACCCTAATCAGTCACATGGTTTGACCACATGGGGTGGTCATCATATGTGAGTATTCATAGTTTCACACAATTTTGAAAAATCTTGTTTAAGATTTTTTATCTTTAAATAGTTTTACCACCTGTCCAACATTGTGATTTGTCCAGGAAAGACGGATCAATCAGGCCTGGCAGGCAGTTTGGAAGTTTGGTTTGCTGGGGAAAAAAAAAAACATTCAAACATATCTTCTCATTGTGGGCTTGCCCAGTTGCAATGAAATGTGGTTTCTGCAAGCTAGGGCTGGCTTTTTCTAAAAGTAATTCAACACAACTTATGTTAAAAAACTTTGGTACTACAAGCCAGCAAAATGTCAGGTGTGTTTAAAGTGCTTATATTGTAACAAACTGTACAGTACACCTATAAATCACAGCGGAATAGTAGTGTATGGAAATTATAGTTGACTAAAAAAGTTGATTGGTCACATGATTTGGTAGATTAAATTATACTGTATACAGTATCTTAGACACCAGAGTCATGGGTATTCTAGAACGATTCTATAAGAAATCTAGAATAATTCTATAGGAAATATTTTTTTTGGTTGAATTTCATTAACAGTATTTACTGCAGAGGACATTGTTCGTGAGATTACTTCATACAGTATGTTTTTAATTGAAAGTTTAAAGAAGTTTTATTGTGTTGTTTTTCCCTACACTAAATCTGATGCAATATGTCATTAAATCCAGTATTTTAAAAAAACTTTGATTTCTTGTACTCTCACAATGTTATTTAATGAGTGAGCATCCCTGCAGTAACACGTACAGTACAAATACTGTACCATCCTTTTCTAAAGTGCTTCCTGAATCCTTACAATAAATCCTTACAATAAATCTGTTATCGTCTATTTTACATTGTATCTGTTATAAAAAATCATATAAATTAATATTCACATTGAGTTTTTGATAAAGTCTTAGGATGTGATGTCAGATTAAACTGAAGAGAACAGAAGATGCTGATCTTATTCACATAATGTATCACAATGTTAGTACCATTATTGATAAAAAATTCATGAATGCCATCAGTGTGCCCTTTTGAATAGTTTCAGTGTCAATGCACAGTGCATTAGGTTTAGTTCTCTTTCCTATGGATGTCTTTATAGTGTACTACAGACAAGGTTTAAATTAATTAACACAGCATTGTGTAAAGAACGCACATGAAGCTTCTTCGTAACACTGCTCCAAGAGGTTAAACTACCAAATTACAGACATACTTTTGCTGAGGCCACAGAGACGTTTTGAAAGCTAAACTGTTTAAGATGGTTACGCTGATACCTTGCTGGAGAATAAATTTAGTCAACTGACATACCATTGTTCATTAGAAGGTAATCAATCCCACAAGCTTTTTACATTGTTAAAATCTTCAGTATTTTTTTGCTAGCCTTTGCATTTTATATTTTTATATATAAGTTAATGGTTAAGGTTGTGGTATTTTTCCATCATTAGTGCCTGGTTTTATGCTGTGGTACTTTTTCAAACCCTAAGAAAATCTACATTTATTATCAGTACATGGCCATTTAAGCAGTAAATGAATTATTCAATACTGCATTCCTTCTTATGTAAGAAGGCAAGTTCTTTTGATTGCATTTAGAGATGATTAGGAACAGGGAACTGAGATGAGACAATGCACCAGAAGTGGCTAGGAAAGACAGGACTGCCAGATGGATATCATTCTTATGCAGTAAAGACTTAAACCTGCAGTTAGTGGAGAAAAATGAAAAAAATAGAGTAGAGTTAGTAGCTGTAGAGTTAACCTCACTCTGAATATTTGAGTTTTCAGGAGCCTTCTTCAGTTACAGATATACCTTCTGTTCTCATGATCCAAATCCATAGTATGGGTACTGGTGCTAGGCTGGGCAGCCAGAGTTGTTGCAGGAATAAGTAGTGTACCATCAACAGGATGGGTCAATGAGTTGGTTTTAGTGTGGTCATATCCCACTCAGTGTCCCTGGCCTTGGACACTAGGGAACATTACCTTTTGACCATATATCCTTTTTTGTGTAATGCGTGTATCCCCAATGAAGAAAAAATGTCTGAGTAACTGGTGTAAGCTACAGAAATCTCTTGCTACTTATACATCATACTATATATACTGTATATCAATCAGTGGATTTATTTTAGTTTTGTTATGTAAACCGTACAGGTACAGTCATCATTTTACAGCTCAATTTTACAAGAAAAACTGGAAGCACAATGTAACAGAATCCCATCTCCCTACATGTTATTTGGTCATTTTTAATATTCAAATATATGAACAATGTATTAATACCAAAGATGAAGACCTGGTAAAATACTAATATTTTACATACAGCAAGTATGTAAATAAATCACGATTTGTGTATTTATAAATATTTATCAGTAATATTCCTGTGCAATCTACACTTCTGAGTTACACACAACAAATCATTAGTTGCAAATTGTTAGAAGTTAGCCAGACTTGAAGACCTTTAGATTTTTCATTTATTTACATTGTCTAGGTCTCATATGTACAGTATAATCATGAAACATGCATTGTACCAAAATATGTGTGGGAGATAAAGCAAATTCCATCCATTTTTTTCATACAAATCAAAAATTTAATAGAGCGCATAACATTGATGGTAATTAAACAGCAAGCAATTCTTATGGGCTTCTCTGTGAAGATGGCAACATTGTTTTTAATGTAACTGATATTTGTATGGGAGTCATTTCAGTCATGTTCTGTTCTGACTCTGCTGCTCTACTGCAGTGCAGTACTTACATACAGGACATACAAAGCTGGTGTGTAAACTGTTTATTTTACACATTTTTCAATTTAAAGCAAAATTAGTTAAAAAACTAAAACTGTTATAACAATTTGATATCTATAAATTACATAAATTTCTAGGTGGTGTGAGAACTATAAAACAGAGATGAGCTACGTGAAAGTTTGTGAATTGTACCTATTTGTGTCCTGTGGAACATTGCAAAGAAAGTAAGGAAGGTGGATAGGGGAAGCTATCCATTATTTAAGTAAAGCTATGACACTTGTTCTCTGATCTGTGGAAGTAAGATTTATACTGATGTTGTGAGAAATTAAGTGTTTTCTGGAACTCAAATGTTGACACTGATTTCATAGTTGGAACTTAAGGCTTGATTTAAGACGTTTTGTGCAGATGTCAACCCATAAAATGTAAATGGTATTTTTGCATTTGTTTAAGATCAAGTTATTAGTTGTACATTAAATGTAGCATATCAGTGAGATCAGAAGCTTATGCCAGGCATGTACAAAACTAACTTTAGTTAAACTCTACATGAAATATGTTTTTGTGATTTTTACTGCCTGCAGCATTAAAGGCTTTAGAAAATGTTTCTTAACATACGCTTACAACAAGACGACTATAACACCCCCATATAGTAGTGACAGGCAGAAAGAACTGAACCTTTTTAGTCTTAAACAAAGAAGACTTGGAGGGGACCTGTTGCAAGTTTTCAAAATTCTCAAAGGCATTAAAAATGGATAGCTAGTGCAGTGGACTTCTTCAACATAAACAGTGAAACATGAACCAGAGAACGGAGGTGGAGACTACATGGAAATGCATTTAATACTGTTCAAAAGAGGCATTTCTTCATCGAGGGGTAATATGAGTATAGAACAAGCTACCTAGGCAAGTGGTTGAAGCCAACACGATTACTTCCTTCAAGAAACAACTGGATGAGAACTTTGAAGCAGTAAGCTACTATCTGCCATCCATACAATCCATTTAACCATTTTCTAACCAATTTATTGCAGGGCAGCCGGTCCGTCTGCCGAAAGGGCTAAATGACCTCTTTTCGTTTGTAGTCTTTCTTATGTTCTTAATGGCAAACTTTGCTTTTTCTGTTCCATTCCTTTGTATGTTCCTTGCCCCTGAAATGCAGATACAGTACGCTGCTTGTCTAATTTGTCAAATTGCTGTTTGTTTGTTTGTTAATGACAGAATCATTTATTTCTGCTCCTTTTCTTGCAGACTGTCGAAGCAGTTTTGAACTTCAAGTATTCAGGGGGCTCCGGCCACGCTGAAGGTTTCTACCGAGATCTGTCTTTGGGACTGCATGTGGAAGTGGAGCCCTCTGTGTTTTTCACAAGGGTCAGCACCCTACCTGCGACCAGGTAATTCTTCAGAGAGCCCATTTACACTGAGAGGTCTCATCTAGATACAGTAGATATTTATTTTTTCCATTTTTTTATGTGTATGCTTACCACCAAGATAAAAATGTATGCAGTGTGAGGTATATCAACCATCCCAGGAATAATGGATTTCCCCTTACCAGAATAGAAGCAGAAGAGCTAAGCAGTTAGAAACCGTTGTTTGGAACAGGTTAGATTACACTAACCAAACAAGGTCATACTGTATAATTGATTTGTTCACAGAAACATTTATGAATTTTGTTCTGAGGGTAGAGTCACACCCAGTAGCCGCACAAAGACCTCTCCACTTGTTCTTCTGTCCCTTCAGAAGATTCATGGCTAACACCTGAACAGGGTGAAAAATATTTTTCATTCAAATTTAATTAACATTGTGTGCATTAAAAAGATTTTTAATATATAATTAACAACAGAGTGTTTTAGGACATCACAAATTATGAATGCATTGAATTCACTGCATTAATCTTGAACAGAAAATGTCTGTCATGTATGGTTAAACATTCATAATTTTGTGAAAGAGTAGAAGAGAGTGTTTTTATTAAAATATCTATGTATATGTATGAATGTCTGTGAAGGATTTAATGTCCCACGTTTAAGAATTTCTTAATTTTGAATACTGTCCTTTAATGTGTCTTTTGAAGCCAGACCTGGTGGTAACATGATTTTATCTTTAATGAAAAGTAAATATTAATTCCTGATCCTCTATGTCAACTGTGTGTTTGGGAATGTCTCATATTATTGGGGCCCAAAATTAAGAAATGTATTTTCTGTGTTTAGTTATTGTGGAAAAAATACTTTGAGGAAGACAGATTATACAATTTAGTCTGTGCAACTTGAATTATTTACCATAATTATAGCTGTAGTTTAACCCATCTATCTTACTTAGTGACAAATTAACCATCTGACAGTCCTGGCACCAAGAAATGTGTGTTCTTGAAAGTTTTCCATCATGAATGAAAGCACTAGATGTGCACACATTTCAGAATGGATATACTGTATATTTAACCATTTTACAGTGGCCCATAACAACTCATAAAAGTTACAAATCAGAGCAGGCCATTTGAACCCATGATTCCTCTTGGATTTCTCTCAGAATAGACCTGCATAAAAATAATTTACTGTTCCAAGTTTAAAACCATTCAGTGCTGGGGAGTAAATAGAAGCTATACTCTTGTTGAGATACAGTATTTCTGTGGAGCCAGGTCAGTGTGTATGAATGTAACAGTGCATTTAACAGGAGATTTTCTTAAACTCTGTTTGTTTGCATACTGTGCCATACTAAGTAATTGTATTGTATCAGACTGGAGTCTGAAAAGAAACAACTTTCATCCTTCTGAGGCTTCTCACTAAGTACATTATTGAGACCCTTGTTTTTTTCTGTTTCGTGAGCCCCCCAAACCTCTGCTGCTGTTTACTGACAGACAAGGGGATGATACATTGCTCATGAGTGGGATTTCATTCTGCACACAAAACGATTAAGAGAGATGTGGATACACGGCTGGTCTCACATGGAGCCAGCTACTTATTATCACTTAAACCAGTCTTTGAGTGGAAAAGTAACAAACAGAGAACTAGACGTACACAGCTGCTGACATGAGATACTTTTTAATTTTCCTTTTCTTGAGAGCGAACATTTGTGAGTTGAGAGAGAACACTAATTCTCTAACATATTAGTGAAGCCTCTGTCAACTTCCATAAGGCAGTAGTGCTAGATAAAAGTTCAACATATAGATACATACAATATATAGATATAAAGGTGAATTAACTGAATGTCTAAGACGTTCATTTGTGAGTAGGGACTTTTTAATTGCTTTTTTAAAAATCAATCCATACTTTCTCCCAAGATAATTGAGTTGATTCTTTGTGTTAAATAATCTCAAATCTTGGTCATCTTATTTCAAACACTTTTTTTTTTTGCACAGTGACCTCCCATAATAGGATGACCCACACATTGGAATAAGTTCTTTATCTACTGTATCTGTATAAATAAAAGTTGAAAATCTGTAAAAGCTCCAGTGATCCGTGCAATGGTAGAAAATCTTTTTCTTTTTTCTGCAGTGTCTGGGTGAAGATTGGGTAGCAGTTCCTTCAGTTGTTAAAATGAATAACACCTCAGTACTAAATTCTCTTGCTGTTGGTACTCAACCAATGGGAGCTGTTATATATTGGAATGTTGGATTTCAAATCAGGGCCAAGCAATCAGATTAACTAAACATTTTCTTTAATAGTGGCTTGTTTCATTAAAAATAGCTCAGGAATTGATTACACCCTATTATTCCCATATAACATTCATCTGTTTTGGTAATTTAGAGGGTGTCTGTGTATGTATGTTGGTATTGTGGCTTTTGGGACACTCTTATGTTACTGGAAATGGAAGATTTTATTAACAGCACTGCAAGCATGTACTGTTCTTGTGGACTAATTTTATTATGGAAATTAAAGGCATTATGTATGCCAGACATTCATTTAGAATACCAGAAGATTGCAGTGGAGTGCTTTATTCCATGTAGGAGCTTAAGACTGCAATTCAGAAGAATATGATTGCATTTCTGAGTAAAATCAAAAGCTGTGGTATGTCTACAAGCATTTCTAATTAGATTGATTTAAATTAAATTTTGAGTACTTTTGAAATAACACTGACAATACCCACATTCCTTACAAAGCGAATTCGGGGAAGCACATTAGCACAAGCAAACATGAGAAATAAGTCTTCTTTAATGTTCCTGTAGAAAGGAGTAATGTTTTCTCTGATTGGGGAAAAAAATAAGTCTTTCTCTTAGGTTTCTTTTTATGTGGACACATTTTTAGTTTTCTGAACACGATAAACTACTATACAACAAAAATAACCATTCCCCACTCTGTAACCCCCTTCCTCCCAATTCTTCCCCCTTCCAAGTTATTACCCATAGGCGTAAAAAATTTGAGCAGCTACAATGGAACTCCCAAGCCACATGGCTTTGACTGAACTAGTTTCAGGTAAATAACAGAGACCAGGATCCACTAATAATAGAAGAGGCAACGCAGAATCTCCTATGACAACATATTAGTGCTGTTCAGACCAGCCGAACAGCCAGTTTATTTTACTTGGGAATTCTTTGATCTTTGATGTCCCTGTGAGACACAGGTTAAAGCCATCGTCCAGCAAGGGTGTTAAATGCGAACAAGGAATATCCCTGTTTAGAAAAACGGAAAATCAGAAAAAGGCCTGTTTCCAAAATATAGCCTTTGGAGCCTTCCAAATACTAATAGCCAGAGTGTGCAATGTAACAGGGCGAAGTGTGACCCTTCCTTAGATCTTAGACATTGACCAAAGAAAAAGCACGATGAATTTTAATGTCCGAATTCTTCTTGGATCCTTTCTAATCCTTGTTCTCAGAGCTAAGAATGGGCTCCTGAATTTTTAGTTATTGAAGCATTTTTTTACTTTTGAAAAGCTACTCATTTTGTTTCAGGCTTACTTTATTTTTAAAAACATTTTTCAAGAAACATTTTTCAAGAATAACTTCACGGTCAGCGGTTATTGATCAAAGGCTGTTTATATTGACCAATGGTCCATTGTAACATTGATTCTTGTTAATGATCTTTGCTGCAGATAATTGCTGCAGATAATTTATTTTCTGAGCTGAAAACACATTTACCCGCTTTATAAACGATGCATGCACACTTATATGTGCTCTGTTTATAAAGATGTCAGTATCAAAAATCTACTGAATTTAAGTGTACTGTATGAAGTGGCTGTGAGGCCAATCTTCCTATTTTCCATACTAATAAATAATATATCTAATTTTGTCTTGAAATGACGGGATTTCATCAAGATGTTTCTTGAAGAAAAGCTGCAACAGAGTGGCTCTGTAGCTTGTTCCTGATTTCTCAGTCTTTTGCTTTAAAAAGTGCCATCTCTTCTCCATATTAAATGAATATTAAATGATTTTCACAATATCTTTAAGGTTTTTTTATCCTTGAAACAATTCCTATATCAGAATATATATAGGAATTCCTATATATAAGACTAAAGACATTCTTTTCTTTTCACTAGTCAGTGTAACATATGTATTCCTTTGCTATCAAGGAATACACCTGTTGGCCAGGGGCTTCTATCCAATGGAAAACCATCATGAAGCAGAGTGTAGTCTGTAAATCACACACTTGGATCAAGCTCTGGATTTTATCTGGGCCTAAATCGCCATTTAGAGTCATCGTAGAAATGATGCTAGGTGGTTACCTACAAGTGGCATGCATAATAGCAGTTTTTTTTAAATGGTCGATGAAAGGCAAAAGGGTAAATCACTTTATGGATTTACTGCTCAGGTTGGTATACCTTGTGATGCCTGTTGTATTGATGGATGGATTTATTGATTGAAAAAAATTAAAATCCCATTAGGACTTTTCCTTTTTAAAATGTGAATCCAGTTTTGGTCAATGATTTTGCTTAGTGGGGTCTTCTCTGATCAATACCAGCAAATAGCTGACTTCACATCTCATTTATCAGTGTGGCGGATCTTAGCCCAGATATAGAACCACTGTTCTTTGTTTTGGAATGCATTTTCATTGGCTAGCCATTCTGGCTGCATTTATTTTTTATCATTTTTTAAAATATGTCGTTTGCTTTATTTTAAGTAGAAAACATATATATATATATATTTTTCTTTTCTTGTGAATATCTGTATTAACACAAGTCACTTTTTAAACTTTTTACACGCAGAAAAATATATCAGGCATTGGTTGGTTAACTGTGAGATGGCAAAGATGTTCCACTTCTATTAATACTATCTGTAAGGTGTTGTTGAGTGTTCAAAGGTGGATTCAAAAAGTTACCTTTGGTTACAGTTATGTAAATTCCAATAGCCAAGTTGAGGTTGTTTCATTCCATTCCTAATATATACAAAAATTAATCATGACGACCAAGCTCATGAGTTGTTTTCATTTCTGAGAATAAAGAATGAATGGAAATATATAAGTCTCTT